ATCAAAGAGAGCAAGAGATGAACTGAGAGAAAATGGTTAGGAAAGGAGAAAAATGGGATCTGTGGAATCCCAATTCTGGAAGTTACCTAGGATTCCCACCAAGTTGAAAGGTCATGATCTTGTCCCCACACCCACAAATCCATGACATGGTCCAATCTTCTTCTTTCACACTAGCATCTCCATCCAGCTGCTTCCGGTCAGGTGCAGAGGTGCAGAGATAAAAGATGACCTTGGGCTTCTAGAAAAGAATGACAACAACACATTCTACAATTCTACTCCTTTCTATTCCCCCTCCCAATTACTACACTAATGAAACAGCATAATGAAATAAGAGAGAGTGCGGCAGACCAAAGATCCTAAAAGGGATATAACTGCAGGCCTGACAGAGAGTATTATTCTTCCTTTCCAATATCCAGAAATACAGTTTAAGAAAACACTTGTTGGGATATAAGTGGGAAACAATACTTTGTAGCAAGTATATGAATTTCACTTAAATGGTCTGTTGTTGCAAAATTAGAGTTAAGCCAAATTTACAAAGTCACAGTAGGTAAGTAAGTGAAAGGCTAGTAGAAGTAGTGCATGCAGATCAGGTGAAATACCTTCTTGCTTTTCGTTTCCTGCCATTCAGAGAGTGGAGAGTCCCAGTTTAGAAGAGAGAAGAGAAATGCTTCTTCTGAGATGCAACTAGTTTAGTATAAATGAAACAGTTTTTAAGACATAATTATTATTTCATTAATTACCTTTTGAGGGTTTAATTTGGGTGCATAATGTAAAAATGAGAAAAAATTAAAAATGGGCAGTTCATATTTTCTACTTGCATGAAGAAGACCACATTCAGTTCTTCAATATTTGTTTTTCAAAATCAGCTAACAAATGATAAATATTCTTGCATGAAACTGGATTACTATGACCAATTGCTACTGTAGCCATTATGGCAACTGTTCAACCCCTAAGGGTTATTTAGCCAAACAACCCATGTTTAGTCACCAGAAGTTCCAGTTTGGGTGGACTTGGTAGTTAAAGGATGATAGGAAGCCTCTGCATTGGATTCACAAGAGCTGATACCCAATTAGATGGATAAACTGATTTGATATAAAACAGCTACCTACATTCAAGTTAATATAAAAATCAGTGTCAGTACTTGTTGTTTTCCAGAGATTTGGAAAATAGTAGAACAATTAGAATATGCTGAGAATGTGCTGTTTTTGTATTTTCCTTATGAAAAGTGCCTAGATTGTACTAATTTTCATTCTTACAGATCGGTGCTGTTCCTCTGGCTGCTTTAGGAGCTCCAACTCTAGATCCAACTCTAGCTGCTCTAGGTCTTCCTGGGGCAAACTTAAACTCTCAGGTATATTGCTTTTAAGTCTAAATCTGTCTCTAGAAAATCATCAGTTTTAACATTTATGCAGTTCCACACTCATGGGATTTTTATTGTGGAATTCCATGGGATTATTTTTGTTGTCTCTGGTTTTCCACAGCAACAAGAATCGAGTGAGTTCATCTGAGTATTAGAAGATTGTGATATATGATGTGTATTTAACAGAGCAATTCATGAATCATAGTATTGGAGGAAGGCCAAGCAGCTAAAGCTCAATGTAAAGAAAATTTTCCCTCATGGTGAAATATTTACTTGCATTACAATTTACACTGCATTACAATTAGTCACAAATTGGGCTTTTTGTATTATTTTGCTTTATCAGTTTAATACAATATTAATGGAAAATAAACTTCTTCAGCATCCTCCCATCTCTCTCAGATCTGATTCAAAGGCTTAGGGATTCCTCTGGAACAGTTTTGGTAAATTGTTGGGCAATGGTAATATTTCATGCCATCAATATATTGTATAATGAGAACTCATAATCTTTAAAAGTTCTTTAACAGCATAATTAGAGTTCACATTTACCATTGTTATAACTGAAAAAGGTATGTAACAATTTTGACCCAAATTCAGTCTTAATTGTATTTGTCTATTGACTCTTGGATTGTGGATATATTTCTCATTGCAGTCATTTTGTAAATGAACAACTCTTCCTCCAGTTGCAGAAACCTCAAATGATCAAGGGCTCTTGTGCAATTTTAAACATAAAATATCTTGCAAATACTGACATGAATAACTAGTTTCGGTAGTAAAAAATAGCCTAGATCTGAGTATACATTGCATTATCAATTTAAATTTATATTAAGCTAATGGTAGATATGTTCTGAGACTTACAATAATTTGTGTTATTTAATTTGTGTTAGATTTAAAGCCATTTGGGTATAAAAAAAACTTTTTTCCAAATATTTGTATGAAAAATAATTTCTGATTATTTTTCTTTGCAGTCTCTTGCAGCAGATCAACTGTTAAAACTTATGAGCACAGTGGATCCAAAGTAAGTATCGATTTTAGAATTGCATTATATAGCACAATTTTTTTTGAGAATTAGGAATTTGAAAGTAGTGCCTTTTGGGTGAATAAGAAGCAGGATTTTTTCCCAGACTTGCATGTTACAGGTAGTCCTCAACTCACGACAACAAAATTTTGGTCACTAAGCAAGACACTTGTTAAGTGAATTTTGCTCCATTTCACGCCCCTTGTCACCTCAGGGGTTAAGTGAATCACTCCAGTTGTTAGTTAGTAACACAGTTGTTAAGGGAATGTGCCTTCCTCATTGACTTTGCTTGTGAGAAGTTCAGCAAAGCTGATCCTATAATGCTGGGACACTACAACTGTCATAAATACATGCCAGTTGCCAAGCGTCCAAATTTGGATCACATGACCATGGGAATGTTGCAACGCTCGTAAGTGTAAGAGGCTGTCAACTTGGCACTGTTTTCAGTGCCGTTAACGATCAGTAAATGTGAAAGCTTGTAAGTCGAGGACTGCCTGTAACTACCTGGGCTTAGGAAAGTAGTTTTTTGTTCTGCTCTTCCCCTTTTGTTGT